ACCACATCCCCAATATATCCTGCAAGTTTCAGAGTGAGCAGCAGTGTGTTACTACTTGGATTGCTTTAGGAGGTATTTGTAAAAATTTGGAACTGTATTCCGCCTATTGCTTTTATTCCGCATGGTCCACCAGTACCTAATTCTGACTAAATGTTTTAATCGGCATCTCTTTTTTTCTGAATAAATGTTTTATTCAGAGAAAAGGTTTCTTCCGAGAACCCAGCCACACAAGAATCTTCTYCGTATGGTGTTGTGATGGTCRAGACAGGTACTTCAAAGCAAAAGACAGAGAACAGGAAAAGAAATGCATTTAAGTGATGATTTTGTATTCTGTCAGGCCAACAGTTTCAAAGTACATAAATCATATTAGGGCATTTTATTCCGAATATATTTTTTATTCTGGCTAATAGCACATTGTATTCCGAACATATTTTTTATTAGGGGTATTATCGCATTTAATTCTGAACAAATATTTTATTTGGGGTACTAGCGCATTTTATTCTGAACAAATATTTTATTCGGGGTACTAGCGCATTATATTCAGAACAATTGTTTTGTTTGGGGTACTAGCGCATATTATTCAGAACAAATATTTTATTTGGGCTAATAGCGTACTTTATTCAGAACAAATATTTTATTTGGGCTAATTGCAAATTGTATTCGGAACAAAGTGTGACAAACTGGAGTGGTGGTGATCAAGAAGTATCACAAGAAAAAAAATAGCAGGACATATGTCAAGCACAGCAAGAAGAGGAGCTGATTCAAAACGTTACAGACAACCAACAACACTAGTTGCTGCAGTATCACCACAACAGTAACATCCACAAGCACCACCCTATCAAGGGAAGCAAAGGAGACCCCMAAAAAATGGAATAAAAGTGTGGCAAAGGAAGCCCTTATTAGTACTCTCTTAAAAGACAGATTCTTGGGTGAATCAAATTATAGACGCCAATCCAACTTTCATGGTGCATCGTACTAGCCCAAGTACATTGAAAACAATTGAAGATATCCACAAACAGAATACACTCTTTTATGTATACTATCCACTCAGGAACTTTGTTATAAATTTCAGAAACTTGAAGAAAAGCCTTGATTCAGAATGCAAGAATTCAGAATTTGACCAAGAAGCATACAACAAAGAAAAAGATAAGTACCCAATCCTGCAGATATTGAAAGCTGCTGGATACATGTGTTGGAATAGGAAATGAAGGTAGATGATATATGATACCACCACAAAGACAACCTAAGGCCAAAAGAATTGAAAGCGGTAGGCAAGGAATAGAAGATTTTTCTGGATGATCCTTTAAGGGATCAATTGAAAAAATGAAAGCGGCACATATAGAGAAACCATATTGGCAAAACAAAAGGAACAAATCAATGAGAAAAAAGAAGGTTCTGAAACAAGAATACTCCCTTCAGGATCATTTATAATTTGATATAACACAGAATAGTAGTAGGAAGCATACAATGCAAAAAAGATAGAAATTATGCACAGTCATAAATTAGAAAGTACGTTAATTCTTTGCCTTCTTGCATGACCTGCAACAATGCAGTGTGCAACATTTTTGATTGTAGTATTTTCTGCAGAAATTCTGCAGAAAGGGCAATGTAACTCATTTTTTTCATCATCTTCTAGAAGAAAGGCATTCCTACTGTTTGTGCCATGCTTCAAACCAATGAGGAAGCACTTTTTTCAGTTGGATCCTGGATGGTATATTGTTCTGCATAATACATTGTCTTCCTCAACTTCAGTGTAAGCAAACTGGGGGATTGTTGCTGGTGTTCAGAACCGCCTGTTGGGTCAGCTGCACAGGCTCCAGTTTGTGATAACAGCAAGAAAGTTTTTTTCCAAAGCCCATTGAACTTCTCTTCAAAATTCTATGCAATAATGTACACAGCATTTTTGGGATCATTAAATGCCATGACATTTGTAAATATCAAATTCATGAAGCATAAGAATTCATCAACAGAATCAACAGTGTCATTGTTGTCCATCTTCTACTTCAGGGGTCAATTGGGTTCTTGATAACCTTGAAGTATGTSGGGATGTTCAATCTTTCTGGATCCACTCCTGGTTTTCCAAAGTATTTGCCCACTTTTGCATCACTCTCAATCATTGTCTACAAAGGTATATGCGTTTCTCCTTATCTTCAGCTGCAAGTACACTTTTCTGCTGCGTAGTATTATCATTCTTCTTCTTCACACCACCACCACCCTTCTTCATGCCACCGCCTTCATCATCCTGTGAACCTTTGCTCTTTGTAGATTCTCTCCTGAAGGCATCAATGAATGCATTCTTTTCAGATATTAAATCCTCTAAATCAATYATTTTGTCCTTCTTTTTTGTAGCTTCTTCTCTAATTTCTCTATTTGTAGATCCTGATCCTCTAGCTCATTTAAATTTGTCGCTTCATCACTGTACAAATGTGAAAGCGTGGAATTTCTTCTTTGATCTCTTGCTTTGTTGGTTCTTGGAATTGAAGATTCTTTGATATGATCTCTTTCTCCAGTTTGTTGATTCAATGGAGATCTATTGATACAACCTCTGTCTTCAGTTCTTGGATTTGGTCCTGCTTTTGTCAATTACATATGCAGCGCCCATGACCTTTTCATCTAGCTCTTTCTTGTCCTCCCAAAGGATTGCTGAAGCTGCCCCCCTCTCTAGTTGTATTGAACAAATTACTTCCTTGTTTGTCCTTTAAGGTCTACACTTGAGCATCCCTGGTCTTCAGTGTTTTGACAAGATCTGCAATCTTTTCATTCACTGAGGTCTGCACTTGAGCATCCTTTTTCTTCACTGCTTTGAGTTTTGCAATCACTTTTTTCTTTCCTCCACTGAAGTCTGTACTTGAGAATCCTTGATTTTCAGTTTTGCAATTGCTTTGTCTCTTTCCTCCACCAAAGTCTGCACTTGAGTATCCTTGATCTTCAGTTGTTTGTAAAGTTTTCCAATTGTATTGTCTCTTTTCTTTCACCAAGGTCTGCCTTTCAGCATCCTTTGTCTTTGCTTCTTTGAGTACTTTTTCATTCATCAAGATCTTTGCTGCAGCATCCTGCAATTTCTTGGGAAGCTTTACAACTGCCTGGTATTTTTCTTCCTCCAAGATCTTTGCTTTGGCTTCCTTGTTGGCCTTCAGTGCTTTGCAAAGATCTATTGCTCTGTTCTTTTCCACTGCCAAATTGCTCTCCTTTTTTGTTATTTCTGGGTTGACTTCACTGATTTTTTYYTTTTTTAATCAAGTCCATCAGCTCTTCTCAAACTTTTTCAGGTCTTGGCATTTTTTACTTTTGTTTCAGCAGCCTTGTCATTCTTCAGTTCAACAATCATTGTTGCTTCTTTTGCAGTCACTGGCAGCAATTGGTGATACACMATAATTCCCCACAAACTGGCGGATATTTTCTCTCTTTGCAACTTTTTCTTGCCTCTTCTTTCCAAAGTGGACATACTCAAGTCCTTTGGCAACAACTTGTTCTTTTGTTAGATTAATTTTGGCAGCTCTCAAGATGGCTCTTTGCTTGGTGCTGCTAGGATCTGTATCCTCATCTACTGGTACTAATGTTTCACAAGGTTTACTACAGCACTGCTGTATAATTCTGACCATTTTTCATGCAACAATTTTCTTCCTAGTAGTAGCTAGAAGGACAACAATTACAAGAAATGGCTTCTTCTGACTTGCAAAGACAGGCTTCAGCAAGGCCAGCATCAAGAGTTTCAAGCTTTCTTGGTCCTGCAGCTAGTAATGATTCTTAGCATATGACACTTCTTCTCATGATACAACAAATAGTGCTGCAACAATTTGTATATGGCACTTCTTATTGTGACATGAAGAACGGTGCTGTAACAAATTCCACTTGGATCCACAACGACAACAAGAGAGACAACATGACTTCTAATCTGCAAGAAGAGAGATTTCTAGTAGATTTTTTGCAATGGAAGAGAGAARAAGATTTGGTGTGTTTTCTACAAGGTTTCCTATGAGATTTCCTACAGGATTTCCTAAGATATTTCTTCTTGCTAGTCCTGCTGGAAAAAGGTCCTTAAGAGGGATTTCTTGTACCAGTAACATGAGAGACAAATTTGCCATGACTTCCTACAAGATTTCTTCCAAGTATCATCCATTGCATCAGTTGATATTTTTGGCAAAAAATGTGATCAGAATTGATCAAGAAATTGAGTGATTTTGTGATCAAATTTGATCACATTTTTTGTAATCAATCGTGATCACATTTTGGGAAAAGGGGTATTTGGGAATCTTCATTTATGTGTTTTTTCACTTATCAATTATCGACAGGGGTATCCGGGAATCTTTATTTTTTCAAAAAATCGAAATAAAAGTATTACGAAGTACAGTACAGGATTGATTTTTTCTAACGGTACAAGTACCGTAGCGAGCAAAAAATCCGAAACGCCGTGTTGGTCACAGTTTGTCATGGGGAGCTCCAATCGTCTTGGGACTGGGATCATTGCCCTATGGGCAGCAACGACAACTACCCTCTCGCTCACCACCCCGAACACCAGATATGGAATGGTTGCGTCGCTGCAAAGTAGTAGGAGCAGTGGGTATCTTGATCATCGCCCGTCGTCGGAACTTCTGGCGACGGACGATGCAAATCCTTGCGAAAGGGAAAAAGAATCAGAATCAATACCCGATATCCAAGAGCTTCGAGATGAAATTCGTAAGTGGTCGCGAACGAGAACGCTCGATGCACCAAGCAAAGCCACGAGTGCCTTGAAAGCTATGTTTCGATATCATGGTAGCACAGAAAAAAAAAGGTCGCAAAATGCTCCCAGTTGTGTCGATGTCATTGACTGCACACAAGTCATCAACGCCTGGAGCAAGTCAAGGCGGCGGGATTCTCCCCAACAGGCACTGACGATTTTAAAATTAATGATTGCAATTCACAAAAAGAATGGGAACGACAGGATTCGACCCAATACAATCACGTACAGTTCTGTCATTAATGCATACGCACGACGAGGAGATTTTTATGGAGCCTTGGACGTCTTCGCCATGCAGGTTAACGATTTCAAACGGAGAGGGAACGAGGAAGCCAAACCAAATGCGTATGCATTTAATTCTCTGATAAATGCTTGCGCAAAATCCAAAAGCGAGGACATGTCGAAAACTGCCGAAAAGTTATTGGCCACCATGAATGATTGGTATTTGCGAGGGGATCTCGAGGATGGCCCGGACGCATACACSTACAGTTCAATAATCAACTGCTTCAGCAAATCCAACGAAAAGAATGCTCCGAGCAAAGCCAGAAAAATTCTTGAGACTATGGTATCCGAATACGGATATGGCAACAAAGATTCCAGACGAAACACTGTTACGTATGCTGCTGTCATGAATGCCTATGCAAGGCAAGGCGATGCCATGGGAGCAACCGAAGTATTTAAGATGATGGAAAAGGACTATCAATTCGGCAACAAAGAAGCCAAACTTGATGTCCAAATATATAACATTCTTGTGGATGCCTGGTCGAAATCTAGTCAAAAAGATGCTCCAAGTCGAAGTCGTGACATCCTTAAAATTATGTTGGCCCAATACGAAGCAGGCAACAAAAATATTAGACCCGACACTGTTACCTATGCTACGGTGATGAATACTTACGCGAAACAGGGCGATATCATCGGTGCAACAGAGACTTTCGAGATGATGACTGGGGACTATCAATCAGGCAACGCAAACGCTGAACCAAATGTGAATGCCTACAGTATACTCATAGATGCCTGGTCGAAATCAAGTGAAAAAGATGCTCCAAGACGTGCTCGTGATATCCTCGACACAGTAATAGCGGAAAGTATTACTAAGAAGAGCTTACGACCCGACGCTATTGTCTATAATTCTGTATTGAATGCATATGCAACGCGAGGTTATGTCAATGGAGCAACTGAAGTGTTCGAGATGATGAAAAAGGACCATCGGACAGGCAACAAAAATGCGGAACCAAATATTCGAACGTACAACATTCTCATGGATGCATGGTCCAAGTCAACTCAAAAAGATGCTCCAATCAAATCCCGTAATATTCTCAACACCGTTGTGAATGAGAGCAAGACCAAGAAAAACATGAGCCCAGACACGATTACCTACAATTCTGCCTTGAATGCTCATGCCAATCATGGCGATTTTGAAGGGGCAGCTAAGATCTTTGAAATGATGAAGAAGGACTATAATTCAGGAAACGAAAATGCGAAACCGAACGCCATAACTTACAACATTCTCACGGATATCTTACCGCAATTCAACAATGGAAAAATTCAGAAGCAAGCCCCCGATGGTGTCAGCACCCCAGTGGCCAACGCGAAAGTGAAAAAAAGAAAGGTGTGATTATTTCATGACTCTTTTTCATATAAAGCGTGAATTACTGCTTTCAAACAAGAGGATGGTGCGAGAAAAGCGATTTAAATGCATATTTTGAACCATTCATCCGCTATGCCAATTGTACTATTCGAACCTAGAATGGTGAATATGCCTCAAAATAACCAAATTACTCAACTCGAAAGCAACATATGGTGAATCGATAGATTACTCCCAACCTTACTTGAGACGGACTATGCACAGTGTCGACAAAGTAAATTCTCTTGCGGTATTGCTGGGAGATTATCCTCAATTTTCGTTCCAGCGGAATTTTTTAACTTGGAATGCCAGTCGGGGAATCATTATTTAATACGCACCCACCATACATTCAAGTTTTGTCTGCCGAACACACGGATGGCATCGTAGTATCATATTCAAAATTTCGGTTCTCGCACCTGAGGGGCTAGGATAGATGGGGACCCTCCGAGTATGGGTTGGCAATATAGCATAAGATCCTACGATACAATGGCGCTCGACATAATCAAATCAATAACTACTTTTAATCCATCAATTGAATTCCTAACCAGCATTATAGTTTCATTTTTGTTTTTCAAAATTTGCAAGTTTTACAGAAGCGATGAGGTCCGGCTGCTGGAAGATTCTCCCGCAACAAACCCAGTCGACCAGCAATTCATAAAGTTGAACCCGCCCGTTACACCGTCCACGTTAATGACTTCTCCACACAGAAATAGACCCGGGCAGACCTTGGACTCCATGGTCTTCATGTCGATTTCTTTCAGGTCCACACCTCCTGCTGTGACGAATTCTTCCTTGAAGGTGCCCTTGCTTGTGATTTCCAGCGGACAGGCCACCAAATTTTGAGCCAGCTTTCTAACGGCCTTCTTAGACGCACTCCCCCACTTGGCATCGATAGTAAAACCACTGTGCAACACTAGGGCCTGCCAAAGTCTACGAGGAATAGAATTGTTTGGTAACGGGCATACGCTGGCCACGTTGCGCTTTGGATTCGAGAAGGTTATCTTCCATAGTTCTTCCAAGACATCTTCAGGATTTCCCCTGTCCATGCTTGCTGCATTGATATCCCAATTCACAGTGACTTGACCACGATAATTGATATCATGGAATTCCCGAGCTGCGAATGCGGATAGTCTCAGAGTGGCCGGTCCCGAGATCCCGTGGTGTGTTATCAAAATCGGACCCTCTTGGCAAATTTGTTGTGCTTTCTTTCTTTTCTTTTTCTTGCTGCCGTCGCTGCTGCCGTTCTTCTTTGGACCAGAAGGCGATTCTACCCGCAAAGTTACACKTCCCGTAGGAACAGAAAGCCCGGACAATCCGTGAAGGAATCCTTTCTCGTCGGAGGAAGAGGAAACCGCGTGCTTGCAATTTAGCGTGAAGAGAGACGGAACAGGCGACACTAGCGGGTCGTGTCCCAAGGATTTGGCCAATGCGTGACCAACCGGTGTAGACCCTGTAGCCAAAACAATCGAAGAAAACTTCTCTTTGCTTCCATCTTTGTAGTGAACCATGAAGGTAGTTGGGTGATCTTCACCACTCCGAGTCGGTGCATCGTCATCTTCGAGATTTGAATCCACAACATCAATATTTTTCACTAATTTCTTCAATCGAACATCGACACCTGATTCCCTCGCCGCCTCCATCAATGTGTCAATGATCGTTTGGGACGAATCAGAGACGGGAAACATTCGTCCGTCCTCCTCCACCTTCAGCTCTACACCGCGCAGTTCGAACCAGTCTCTGGCCATGGTCGGAGTAAATCGCTTGTGATACAGGCCGGTGAGCTCTTTCTTCCCGCGGGGATACCCGGTCAATATTGTTGAGGTTGGCTTGGAGGTGTCGTGCAACACGTTGCAGCGACCCCCGCCCGATATTTTGACCTTGGAAAGCGTCTTGCCAGTGGCTTCCAACACGACTACTTTTGTCGGCGGTTGCTTTTTCTGGCCATTGCTACTGCTGTGTAAAAACGCCGCGTGCTCTGCTGCAGCGATGGATGCGAAAATGCCCGATGCTCCACCACCAATCACGGCAATCTTCTTCGGCGACGACACCGACGACACCGACGACAGAGCATTCGTCGTTGTCAGGGCTCGTTTGGTAGCAAGGGATACTGTCACGGCAAGAACGCCCGCCAATCGCCAGGATCTTCTTTGTCGTCGATGCTGTCTCGTGGAAACACTTCTCGAAGCTATTCTTGCCATCATATTGTTGTTGTTTCGATCACTGCTCCGTCTTGTCGACAAGTTTCGAAAAGAGAAAAAAAAATGAAGGAATGGTAGAGGTGTGTACTGTTCACCCGGACTACTGGTACTACCRGTACGACTCGTAATCGTAGTCGAGAAAAAAATACCGTTTGTACGTAGTTCGTACAGGGTGTTCGTATTGTTCGGAAGGAAGGCAGTCAGTACTATGATAGCATAGTGGTACTGTACTGTAGGGAAGTACCGGTAGGACGTAGGACGTACCGGTACCGGTAGGACGGCTTCATTGGGAAAGAAAAAAACGAAGACATTCAAAATTCATGCCAAACAAACAAAAACCTCTTGAAAACATACGAACCGACTCTTTGAACCTTCGAAAGTGAAGCGGTCAGAGCAATCTATCAACCATCRCGAGCTACAGCCCATTGTATACAAAATACGATCAAGAGGACTATTCCAATTCCAAAAGAGATCCTTTTCCAACCGCCCAACCATTCGATAAACCACCTTTTCCGTCATGCAACGGCGAGGAGCACAAAGGTCATCCGGCACGAGAAATGCGTCGTACTCGTCATCATCCGTCGATGCCAACGACAAGAAGAAGCGCAGGAAAATTTCTTCCTCTGTTTTTTACGCTGTGGGACTCTTCGTGATTTTGGTTGTCTGTTTACCTCTTGTTCTCACCCCGTCTCAAAAGAAAGAATTGTCAGAAGTGGAACAAGCTATTTGGCGGCAATATCAGCAGCAAACGACTGGAAGTCAAGTAGAACAGCAATCAATAAGCAACAACAAGGAAGACGACGACGATGATGWTGAAGAAGGAGACAACAAAGCGGTAGACGGTGAGGGAAAACCATTGGAGGAGCAACACGACGACAAAGAAGATACCTCCGCGAACAATGCCGATGCCAATGGTGCCCCCCCGAACGCGGCTACCGCTCGCATGGAAGCCCAGTCGAGCCGGTGGGTAGACGGAGAAAAGGCATTAAAAAAGAAACTGATGGTCTTGTACGAACAGCAGATGAAGGGGAAATATCTCGGGGTGCCGGTCGTAACGCGGTATTTGGGCGAGGACATTCCTGCTTATATTGGGACACCCGACAGCCCCATGGCAGAGGACGAATGGAAGAAATTGGTGGAAGCCAAGTACGAAGAAATGAGACTAGAAGAAGAAGAATGGAGGAAGAAAATGGAAGCGCTAATCGCAACTCGAGAACGAGATATGGGTATAACTACTGCCTGAGCATTGCGAATATAAGATAATTGTACCGTATTTTTAGGCTTTCCTTTTTCCTACYAGGATTTTGAATCGACAAACAACCACTCGATAGAAGAAATTTTTTCATACATTTCGGAATGACGAAACAACTTTTCGCCCACGAGTATAGTCAGAGAACATGTGGACCACMACGAATCTGCCAGTTTAGAAAAATAGATATTATTGGTTTGTGTCGTATAATTTTGCGACTTTCTCTGCTACATGAGATGGAACTAATTCGGACAGCATTGCCTCTTTGTTCTTCTTCTGCTCTGCAGTAGTTTGTTGCTGCTGTTCCTTACCACCTGTGCTGCAAATCGTTCGAACAAGCGTCGAAGACACGTGGTTGTATGTTGGGTCGCCTTCGATATACACGGTTGGAATGGGAATGAAGAGCGGCCCATAGAGCACCGGACCCCAGGTATTCAGAATTTGCAGCATTCGCTCGTCGCGCCCATCTTTTTCCCAGCTCCGGATGCCGCGAAAAAAGAGCGTTGCGCCAATACGTTTCGCATACCGCCAAATGTATCCATCCACCACTAACGATCGAAATAGRAGCACCGAATGATGTCAGTTTGCAAACGACAAAGAGACGAAGAAACAATCATATGRCAATACAAGTAAACCGTACACGGCAGTTGACGGAGTTGAAGTTGATGCAGAGACGAAAACAACGAGTTGCAGACGGTAGACGCTCACCGGGCGTCGGTTCCCGAGCAAGCGAGCAAAGAAATAAACAGATACGCAGTCTATTATATCTATGGGGACCAAGGCACGWCTTACCCACAACCTCCACGTTGTCACCGGYCGATGACGATTTCTTCAACATTTCTCGCAGAAGGTCAGCTCTTTGTTCCGGCGACACGAGGTATTTCTTGCTCGGATTGAAGCCAACCACCGCAATCACTTTTGAGTATCTTCTAGAGAGATRCTCGAGCATTCTGAGGTGACCATAATGCGGTGGATTGTAGGATGCGGCAAATACAACCGTTCGCTGTTGGTCCATTGTACCCGATGCTCCGTGCACCGCTTCTTCGTTCCAGGGATAGGTGATGATTCTGGGCCAAAAGATGCGATATACGTGGGGAGCGAGAATCACCGCAGCGATTGCAACTCCTGCACTTGCGCCAATTGACACCCATTCCAAAACGTGTTCTTCCATTTTGATTCTGGCTCGCTCCTGTTCGCCCCAGGAGCTCTACTGTTATCTACAACAGGACGGGAGGCCAAGGCTTCTGTTTCGACGATTTTCGTATCTGTAGAGCAATTACGGTACTTAGCCTCCGATTCTAGATCCGTCTTTACTTTCCCGCTCAAAAAGTCAAGACTGCCTCCGTCAGTCACGTTCCACCATATGGTAAGGTACATATGCACCCTAAGAGCATACGACTAGATGATTGTTTCAGCCAACCCTAACCTTGTTCTATACTGTTTATGGACCTTTTGCACGAAGTCTTTTTTGAGATTTGAGAATAGGGACTTTCGAAGATGCAACTCGTAACGCGACGGCGACGGAGCTTATGAGGAAGAAATATTAGTACGAACCCAACGGTACGATACGACTCTCCCAAGTACTACTACTAATAAATGACTGTTGGACTATTTTCTCGGCGAAGTTAACTCTGGTCGGGAATTCGTACGGCACGAGTGGTCGGTAGTACGAGTAGTACGAGTAGTAGGAGAACTCGTATCAGCAATCCCAAAATCCCAAAAAGACTCAAGGAAACCTTTCTGAGGAGGAAATCTTTCGGTTTCTACTGAAATCTATTTTTTTCTCAGATCRCTCACTTTGCAAAATTTCCTACAATACCGTACAAACGAATTAAGACGTGAAAGATGACGAAGAAGGTAARTAGAACGAAGCGAGAGCACACACAAATACTTCAATGTTGACTTCTTTAATAGACTTGTCGTTTTTCAATAGTCCGTTGAATCTTCGTCTGGAAGAACGTTTTGTTTCGATGTGTCACAGAACACCAACAGATAATTGCGCTGACGCTGTTCACACCATTGCTTCATTGCTTTCGAACCACAATTCTTGCTTGGTGTTGCTACCTCCCTTTGATCCTTTTGTAGGTTTTGTTTCTCATTACATCGGCTCCTTCTTTTGGGAAATCGACAAAATTTCCAACAGGAGTGTGGTTGGAAGAACTAGCGGCACCGTACAAGATTTTCAAGGAMGCAGGATACGACATCACCTTTTCYAGCCCTACGGGGGGTCCTATTCCAATCGATGCCAATTCCTTGAGGGGAGACTTTTTCACAGATGTAGCAAAGACATTTTTGCACGACGCCGATGCCATGGATATGTTCGGTCACAGCAAAATGATTACCGACGTGGATACGGGCGATTACGATTGTCTCTACATCCCCGGAGGCCACGGTTGCTGCGATGATTTCGTMGGCAATGCCGGGGTGAAGGACGCCATCGAATCCGCATACGGWGCCAAGAAAATTGTTGCGGTCGTTTGCCACGGTCCGATCGCCCTCGCCGAATGCGTCAAGCCGGGTACCACCACTCCCCTGGTGGAAGGCCTTTGCGTGACCGGATTTAGCGACGCGGAAGAAGCGGCTGTTGGTCAAACGGACAACGTTCCATACCTCATCGAAACACGCTTTAAAGAACAGGGTGCCAAGTACGAAAAAGCGGAGTCCGACTGGGCATCCCATGTCTGTGTCGATGGCAATTTGGTCACGGGGCAAAATCCTGCATCGTCTACCGCGGCGGCGCAAAAGGTGGTGGAATTGATGTCATAGGTTGCTGGTTGCTGTGTGGCATTGATATTCACAATCGCTTCGGAACTCTTGTGGTTCGAATTCGTAGGTGTGCAATATCATCCTATACGGYTGTCCTGTCGGAACTAGAAGTAAACGGTAAAGAATCATCAATTTAATACGTGCATGCATTTTTATCTATTGAAATAAAACTACTTTTCAGAGTTTTTGATGCATTGATGTGGATTCATTCAGCCTGTCGAGAGATTGTTCTCTACCCAGATTAGTGTGGCGAGGAGTCAAATAAATAATTGAATCCACAAGCCTTCGGCATAAAACCATTGACAAAAATCATTTGAAAGTGACGGTGTGGACAGGACCTAAAATCTTCGGCCCTATTCCAATTTTCCTTTCAAGGTGGTWAACAACCCATCTACATGTAATAGATCTCCGCCACACCCACAAACRCAAATGCTTAAATGCATTAGTTTTCGACCAAAAGAGGATTTTCTGCATCATACTAACAGGTGCGAAAAACAACTACTAATATACGATACTTRAACCAAGTTCAATCGATATGGGATGGAAAGAAAGCCATCGATGAAAAGAAGACTGAGTCGATACCGAGTACGAGCATCAGCATCAGCACAAAGTAGCAGATTATGTATCATTATTTGCTTTGAGGATTTTCCTGGCCAGTCCCTAGTGTTGCATTGGTGAAACACCCGCACCAGATATCATCTGTCTCAACCAAGGTTGTTTGATTGGGTGACGAAAGTAGTGCATATCATTACCWCTTGTTTGGAAAAGTTTGTGAGTTCTGACAATCTTGGTTGCTAGCTAGCAATCTCTGTAGCTGACGCACTCACAAACCAATGGTATGAAACACACAGACATACATTCTTCGATCCTCTCTAAAGCTGGCTCGCAAGCTTTTCTTCAACGGATAGATCCTCGCCTTCACTTTCGTCACTGCTTTCTTCGGTACCTGGTGCTGCTTCGATGTCTCCAGAAAGGTAAAGCCAAGCTCCAGAATTCTGCGCCTTTTCGAATGCCGATGTTTCCATAAAGGATGTTTTTTCACCCGTTTCTCTCAACACCATTTCGGCAATAAATTTCACACTAGCAGTTTCAACTTCAGTGTCTTCGTCGTTAGTGTYGTCGTAGTGTTCTTCTACTATGACACATTTTTCTAGGTCGAAATTGTCGTACATGTTCAGCCTAAATGTAAATACGGAAAAGGGAAGGAACAAATGCTACATGAATCAGACTGTTTCCACCAGAAATTGTTTGCGTTGACTTCATCGCAGATCATGGGCAATAATGCGGTATCGGTRGCAAGGATGAAGTTTCGTTTGAACTCATTCGTGGATCCAACCGTTCGTCGATAACTATCGTTTCGTTTCATGTCACTCACTTGATGTCTTCCTTCCACTTTCTCAAATCGGGATTGAAGGCTTTGTTGTTCGGATGCGTGGACATCATCAAGAATTCGGGTAGCTTTCTAGCGTAAGCCGAGTATCTTGCCCGAACGATTTGTTCGGCCGTTGCTTTTCTAAAATTTTGAACGTTCTTATGCACCTTGGAACAACAATTCGAGTAGGTTTCCCCCGATCCGCACGGACATTGCTCCATTGCCGCCCCACCGAAGCCCCCAAACGAAACCCCTCCGCTTTTCTTGTTGTTTGCRCTTCCTTTTTTCTTTTTCTTTTTCGCGGCGAAGAGGGCACTGTCACCGTTAGCAGTTGTGATCGTTTCGGAGAGAAAATGGGAAACGGCAGGGGGAGACGATGTGAAACCCTGCACCTCAACAAACAGTCTATCGTTTGTCAGCATCATCGCTACGAGTATGGGTAGCCAAATTTTCCACGAAATAATGGTTCCTGGCATGGTTATATTTTTCTTTTTGGATCGCACTATGGGTATTGCTCGTCTTTGATTGTTAGATTTATTCGTTTCGGCATYGACGTCGCGATTTCGAAATTCGTTTGAGTGGCGCGTTGTCGTAGTTTGAAGGAGCCATCAAAATCGCCCAACATCAACAACAATTGAAGGCGGGGGTTGACGATTGCTTTGTGTGGGTCGGTGGGTGACGGGGATTTCTTACGGATACATACGTAGTACTTGTTACGGTACCGTACAGTAGGAGATGGGATTCTCACAGAATTTACGTTAGGAGTCCTACAACGTACAACGTACAGTATTGAAGTAGTAGTACTTGTACTGTACGGGATTACGTACGTACTCGTATTCCCAACTCGTGATTCATACTAATTTACTATTACTGTACTTCGTATTCAAACGTGCGAAAATATGATGATAAACTACTCACCGTACGTACGTACCGTAATATAATACAGAAATATACTACGGTGTACAGTACAGTACGTACCATACGTACGGTATGGTACTTCGGAGTGAAAAATTAATGTACATAAGGTTTAAGACTACGATGAATACTCTCATATCATACGCACATACTTGTTCTTTACGGGGTACTGGATCTATTTTTTTGAAAATTTAAACTGGCATCTCCAAGAAGGGATTGCAAGCAATCTGCRAACAACAATGACGATTTTTAGGAATTTACCGCCAAAACCCACACACGAAAACATTTTCATTGCCCCTTCAGTTTTTTACACAACAACTTTCACAAACTGCCGCCAGTGTTCTGCGTTTTGCAATTTGCAATACAGTAGACTATCAAAAGTTTTCAACTGCAATAGAAAAGAAAACAAAGGCAAACATGAGCACCACGGATGGAACTTGCTCTGCCGCGGCGTTGGCAGAAGCCGTCTCTGACATTGCAACTCCCTTATGGAAGGTTGTGATCTTGTCGATCTTTGCCTTCCCCACCGCCTTTTGGGTCGTCATGTATTTGATTCCCCAGGTATATATGGCCTTTCGYCCCGTTCCCGATCTAAAGAAACGATACGATGCGACCTGGTCCCTAGTGACGGGTGGAGGATCTGGAATCGGCAAGGCTCTTGCCTTCAAATTGGCGCGGCAGGGTCTCAACGTCGTGGTAGTTTCTCTCGACGACGACATTCTCAAGGCAACGATGAAACAGCTCAAGGAGACCTTTCCGAAACTTGAGTTTCGCTCGGTTGGTGTTTCGTTTTCTCCGGGAATCGATTACCTAAAAAAAATTGAGGAGGCCACCAAGGACATTGAAATTCCGATTGTCTTCAACAACGCTGGGTTTCTCGTGACTGGATTCTTCGACCAAGCTCCGCTCGGCAAGCTCTTGGCCAACATGGAATGTACGTGGCGCGCTGGTGGATTTTTGTCCGATAAACACCGTTTGTATATTTCTCTGCCTTTGTGCGAAGAAACCAAAAAGATACAAGTTCGAACTCTTCTCTTTCCAATCTAATTCTTTCGTTTTCGTATGTTCCTCAAAAAGGCAACGCAACGGCCGCAGTCAATATTTCCCACCATTTCTCATCAAAACTAGTCAGTGCAAAAAAGAAGGGTTGCATTGTGTTCACTTCCAGTGTCGCTGGATTTATTCCAACACCTTTCTCGGGTATGTACGGAGCCACCAAGGTACGTCCCACACGGCAGTCGGTACTATTGCTACACCTCTGCGAATAGCGATGGTGGAAGGCATTGTGTCACCATCGTTTATTCGTGTATTTTGGAGTGTGTGTGCGTTTGGATTTGTGTGGTTGCTTACAACTTTTGCGTCCGCACGTTCGACCTTTCCTTTTCCGCTTGCGTTCAAGGCATTTGTGAGTCAATTGGCTTGCAGTTTGCACATCGAATTGCAATCCCTTGGCATCGACGTCTGTGCCGTGCACCCATCCCCGGTAGCCAGCAACTTTTACAACGATCTCGACCACAAGATCGATATCTTGGAGAGTGCCTGCAAGCAGGCTGTACCGCCCGAGGATCTGCCCGACGACATCTTTCGCAGCATCGGGTGCTGTGCGCTCCGAGATCTGGGAGCCATGGCGTGGAGTTCTCGAATGGGAACCTTTTTCCTTCCATACAACTTTTTCACGGAGATGTTTGCTGCAGCAGCTCCCTTTTTACCCGACTGGAAGACTCATAACAAGACGCGTAGTTAAGATCTACTACTAATTTCTAAGTATGCATACATTATACCTGCGTTTTTTGTTGATTTCCTCTTTAATGCAGGTAAACGATTCTAGTACCTAATCCTTTTGCGATGTTCATTTCTTTCTTGGTTCAGTGTCGTGATATGCCGAAAATATTCGATCCATAGTATCCGGCCACAATCCACCCCAACGACTCTTTCTAGCCGCGCCATAGATTCCTGGCGCGGCACTGCCGGACAGTGCTTTTGTCACCCTGCTTCGAATTATCCTGCCAGGAGCGGCGCAGTAATCGATGTAGACGTGGCCTTTCTTCTTGATGGGCGCCCGAATGATTCTCCCCATGGATTGCCGCTTGGCTTCGCCCTGCAGCAATTCGAGTCCGAGGTCATCGTTGTCGGAGTCGATGTATCGCGAACTCAATGCCCGTGCCTCTTCGAACGTGCGATGGGCCAGGTCGTCTGCTTCGAACGATGCGGCATCCAGAGCATCGGTAAGCAACTTCGTTACATTGTCGTCGCGGAACGGATCCCCCTCTGTAGAAGCATCGATCCTTTCGTCGTTGGCACCATTTTCTGGTTGGCGAAATCTTTGTTTTTGAGCAACAAGATAAGAAAACTTTTCTCCTTTCCGCCTGGAGTCGCCGGACACGGAATGGACAAAACTGCAAAAGGATGAATTGAAGGCCTCCGTCTCGGACATTTTGAGACTATCGGGAGAGTCTACATCTATGTGATCTTGATCGTAATCACTAGCGTCAAAATCACCATCGTAATCATCGCCACTCTCGTAGCCGTCGTTTTCTGTCGTGCGTTTCGACAATTCCTCGTTGTCAAAATCCTGTGGCAAGTCATGGCCTAGTTTTCCAATGGGTTTCTTGTGGGCTCCAAAAAAATTCTTTTTGTGGCGCTCCATCGGACAAGTCCCATTGTGTGTGCAAGGTGCGATGATGTGACACCGGTCTTCCCATTCAAAATCTGAATCGTGGGGCGGACAGCAGTCCAGCAACATGTTTCGAACGGCACGGGTAGAGTTGAAGCCGTCCGGTGTTCCTGGTTCGATCATGACAAAGACGCCATTCGGTTTGAGTTTTTCAAAGGCCATCGCTGCGGCTGCCAAACACGATGCAACGTCGGGAAGGTCCGATGCAGTATAGACAAAAAGGGCCAGATCAAAGGATCCCGCCGCCGACGACGACGACGATGAATCGTCCGAGGACGGTGACAAGCTGTTGCTAAAGGTGATTCGAGGAGTCAATGGTGGCAGACTTTGCGAGTCAGAAGAWYTCGTTCTATTGRAATGCCCGCGTGACATTCCTTCGATCAGTTTCATCGAGCATTCTCGCATGGGTTGGGAAGGATCGATCCCATGGATCCACTCGACTCCCGAAAAACCGTCGTTTTCGCTGCCCCTGAACAGATCCATCGCTGCTGCAGATGCACTTCCACATCCAATACCAAAATCGAGAATCCGTTTTGGATTCCAGTTGAAAGAATAAATAGCGTCGGACTCGTTGCTATCTTTGCCACAACTTCCGCTGTTTGCGACATGCGTCAGTTTCCCTCCCAGCAAGCTCCGGCATTCTGCTAGGACTCGTTTGGTAATGGCATAATTTGGTGTCAGTCGATGCTTCAGGGTGCTCAGTGTCTCATCGTATCCATAATATACCGGGCTGACAGATAAGGGCGCAGACGACTGATTGCGATTGCTGCTGTAATAGCTAGCGTCGTCGTCTACATCATCGACGCCGGGATCCTCGTCGTCGCTGAGCTGTTGTTCTTGCTGTTGTTGCTGCTGCCTTTGCTTGAAGTGCCGTTTCCCGTTCACCATGATCCGTCGTTCCTTCTCCCGAAGATCTGCTAGATCGGATTGGATCGACAGGACCTTGCGGTGAGCCCGACGGAGCTGCTTGGAGGTCCGGTCGCCATCATCGAGAATGCGGTGCATCGCATCGACAAGGTGCTCGGGCGGATCTTTCCGCGGATCCGTTGCTCGCCACGAGGCTCTCGCCGGTGCCTCCAACAGCAACTTCCATGGTTGCAGCGAATACAAGTCTTCGTCGGGGATACTTTCTTCGTTGCTGTCATTCCCGTAGTCGAAACTAGCACTATCTGTGAAACCGTGGTCGCCAGTTTCGTCTGCGAATGCACCAGTGGTATCATTCCTCCCGGTRCTTTTTCTTGCCACGCTGCTGAACTGCCTTTTTCGATGGCTCTTCAACAGCAAGCCGACGCAATCCGGTCGACATCTGAGATGCGAGCTACCAAAGCCCTTGGTTTCGAAACGGTCCTCGACTCCTTGGAAATATCGTAGTTTGGAATAGTATAGCGTGCGGCTTCTAGCGATTGGGAGTTGGAATTCGTTGTCGGGAGCCAGCGAGGAACAGTGCCGAAGGAACACAACAGCACCCGGTTCAACACTCCACAAATTCTTCCCGTGGCTTCTTGTGTGAAAAACTATCGCATTGAAGCGCTGACCGAGAAGCAGAGCCATGCTAAATGCACACTATGCGTTTGGTTTCATTCAGACGCAAGCAAAGGGAAATCAATCGATCAATTCGCTTGTCGATCTTGTGTTGCCGTGGGCTACCACTGCGTACGCAGTTTAGTTATTTTCAACAATTCCGAATGCGAACGCTCCGCATTCAATAATCTAAGGTGCCAAGAGGCCGTGATGTACAATATAGCTAGCTACCTTCGTTCCTTTCCGACCATCGTGTGCAGTACGGTATCAGGTATCGGGATGATGGTTTTTCTGATYGATTTTTTATGGTTCTTGTGTTGGAGTGAGATTTTTTTCGGGGGTGTTTCTTGGTTCTCCGCGGAGATAAGTTAGGCTCTTTTACTGCAATCAAAAGTAACGGTGGTTGGTATGCACCTATGTATCCTATGATATATTCGTAGGATAGAACCGTTAGTTTTTTGAAAAAATGGAATCGTACGAACATAGCAGCRACCGCCACAATACAAGTTAAGCTATTGAAAAATGCGATGGGCAATAGTAAAACTGTAAACCGCAAGACAAACGAAAACTTTCAACGTCCAGAAACACCTCTTGGTTCGTGCAGCCAAACATGCAGTCCCGTGAGAACCGCCAAATCCACCCGGGATTTTGGGTAATTTTGAAAATTCAGTTAGGGATAAATGTGGAAAGGTTTGAAAAAATGCCGTACAAGTACTAGAAATACCAATTATAWTTGTTATCTGTAGAAAGGGCTATATCAACAAAAGTAGCAGAAAACAAGCAATTGCATTGGCAAGACTGAGTGTCTACAAACGGCGGTGCTTTTTCGCCAAACGGTTTTGTTTTGGAGCAGAACGAAKCCCATCAGTGTACCGTACGTACGCTACGGTACGTACTTGCAACAGGCCTTTTCTTCCGCCGGAAACTCCTTTTCTCGCCGGAATCGTTTTGAAAAGGAAACCCGGTGTGATGTTCACCTTTTTGTTTCGATCGACGAGACATCGCCGGGATTTTCTTTCGACATCTCCAACCAGTAGCGCCCGGACGGTGCTTTTCCTCTCGCATTTCTTCTCATAACAAATGATTTCTCCGTTCTACAAAGCCAAGCAGTGATACGACAGCTATCATTGATTTTTTCACACACCACAATACAGTATAGTTTTGGAGTACTACATAACTTTATTCAGCAGCGGTTGCCGATAAATCGTTGCTCCAAAGCAAGACCAGAAAGCTACAACAGAAGAATACAAAACATACCGATGGCGATGGCGACTCGTGCAATTCCCTCGTTTCAAACCAAGAGCAGACGAAACCTCTTTGCAAATGAGGGCCTCGACAACGAAGAGCCTCTCGAGGTGAAAGACTCTAACGAACCCACCATTGGCAGTGAATTTCCCGAGGAAGAAGACCCAGCAGTGAACGAGAACGAGAACGATGACAAGGTGAACGATACAGTTGTTCTCTCTTCCGAGAACGACGGCACAAATACTTGCGGCCAGGCACTGACACTGAAGATCAAAACGTCCCCGTCGAAATCCATCAGCTCCAAAACGTCACCCAGAAAAAAGAAGACTCCCAGTCCACGCAGTCCCAGTGGGAGTATTTTTTCGTGGCTGTTTGGTGGTTTTTCCGGAGGCAGCAAGAAACGACGACCGCCGATGAAGGCAAAGGGGATATATTACGACAGCACGACCTGCGATGTCAGAAAAGAGAGCKAYCGCACTCTTGCGATTGGGGAAAACGGGGAAGCCGAATACGTTCCAGACTGGATTGCRAGCAATCTAGAAGGACACCAGCGCAACGTTCCCGTTCTCGTCCGACGACCGGAATACGATTGCTACAACGAGGTAGACGACAAGAAGCTTCTTAAGAAGGTCATGATCAAGGCCAGGAAGCTCCCGCAGGAACCCGGAAAGTATGCCAGCAACCACATCATGGTCAACGCGGCACGAACCATCCGGAACGTCCCACCCCTGCGTAGAGAGCGATATATGGATCAGATTGCGAGGGAGCAGGCCAAGATGATGGCGGAGGAGCGAAACCTCTTTCACATCGAGACACCGAGAGACCTCGAGCGGCGACTGAAAGAAATGGACATGGATTCCAACGAGCTTCCCGTATTTACGCGCATGGGAATCAACATTGGAAAAGGAAAGACCATTGCAGAGATCCACAGGTTTATGATGGCGGCCCTGGCGGAGCGAAACAACATACAAGACAAGAGATTYTCGCGAATGGGAATGGGGACCCACCACGACAAGTACGGCGTGCTCTATATGTGCCAGATTTATGGAGGATAATCAGAACCGTTGAGAGCAGAAGGTTCCTAGCTGCGAGCTACGATTTTATACAAAAGCTGGTGAAACTTCTCTGTCGCCAAATGTCTCTCTCCCTCTCTTATTTGCCAATGTGTAGAAGTACTTGTAGAACCTATTTAAAGCAACAAATGCTAAAATTGCAGCTTTTTTCTCGATTGGTTCTTCCCACTAGTCAGTATAGCGCCTTTCTTAGAAACGCTTGCTTTTTTGGGTGGCATAATGTGTTAGAGGAACAGTCACCGAGACGGAAATGCCCTGCGATGGGCCGAAGGCCGGCAAGAAGCGMACACACGGGCCACCCCATCGATCCCTTCCTCGAACCCGCCCTTCCCGTTTGTACCTCGGGTGGCTTGCCGAAAGCGACACACCCTGTGGTAGACAATGCTAGCAATCTTCACTAACTCATCATTCCTAAGTAGTCTTATGTAATAAAAAGTATTGTACACTAACAACATTGTACTTCACACATTTGTTCGTCTCGCCACCCGCCGACCGCTGGAACGACTCGGAACGGTTCGGTTCGGCTTGGTTCCATTCGATGCGGTGTGCTCTGCCTTCCTTTCTGGGAGCGCAAACCCGATCCGATCCGATCCGGTCCGGTCCGGTCCGGTCCAGTTCCATTCGTGCCGTTCCAAAGAATGCATCCGTGAGAGTCCGCGTTGCCTCGCCACGAAAGGATAGCCGCGGAGGTGCGAAACCAACCCCGCCTCACCCTCTTTTTTTGGTGCGCGTCGAAGGCATCCCGTGGGCCAAAAGGCCCGTCTTCGGAAACGCATCCATGTCACAGAGATGTATGTTACGATCGATCTGTCCGGGGAGGCAGACCGGCGGAGGGAATCCCGCCCACCCACCGCTCAGCTGCGCTGTTCCCCGGCAGGGGCGGGCGTCGGCAGCGGTGCCACCGAGACCGGCGCCGCCGGAACCCCTCCGGCCCCGGGGGCCTCCTGCAGGCCCGCCGGAACCGTTGCGGTTGCGGAGGACGGTGCCCGCCCCGCTGGGAGAATGGCCACGGGCGCGTTTGCGCTCGTGCTCGAGCCCGCCTTGGGGTCCGGGGTTCCCCCCCCCGTGGGCCAGCCCGCCACGGGCGGCTGGCCCGCCGGCCCCTGGATCCGCGCCACCAGGTGCTGGGGGGCGCAGGCCGCCGCCGCGGCCTTCTGCATGGCCAGGGCCGTCATGGTGTCGTTGTAGGCCTGGGTGGTCGACTGACCGGTCGGGGGGGGCGCCTGCGCCGCGAGGGAGCCGAGGCCGGGGGAGATCCCCTGCATGCCCCGGACGGCCACCTCCATGGCCGCAGCCGCGGCTTGCTGGAAGCTGGCCATGGCCTGCATCGTGGCCCCCGGTTGCATGACGGGAAAGGCGGCAAAGGGAGCGGTGGGGGGCACCGGGGCATTTGCGCCCGTTGCGGAAGCGGCCACCGGCGCGTGGTGGCGCCGGACCGGGGCCTGCGCCATCCGGGCCGCTGCCCCCGCGGTGGGTGCGGCGGAATGGTGCTTTGCGGCGGCCGCCGCCGCCGCTGCGTACGAGGGTTCGGAAGCCGGTGCTGCGGCTGCGTTCGCGGAGGGCGGTGGTTCCATGGTTGGTTGTGTGTGCTGCGGCTGTGCCTGCAGTGGGTGTGGTTGCTGCTGGTTCGTGGCGGTGGGAGTTGCACCGGTGCCGGTGGCGTTCGCATTTGCACTCGCAATCGCACTGGCGGCAGGGTTCGTGTTGGTGCTCGTGTTGGTGTTCCTCCGCGCCTCCGCGCTTGCGGGTTCCACGACGGGGTTCGAAACGGTGGTGGCGACGCCGGGAGTCGCGTTCGCATTCGCGCTGGACGCCACCGCGGCGGCGGCCGCGGCGCTGCTCTCAATGACGGAGGCCTGGGCCTGGGCCTGCATGAGCAGGCGTGTCAGCTCGTCGTTCTGGTGCTTGAGGGCCCCGTTGGCCCTCGAGAAGAAGATGACGCTCTTCTGGAGGTCCTCGATCATCACCTTCTTTCGCCGGCGGGATTCGCGGGCCGCCTTGCGGTTCTGCTCGAGCCTCGTCTCGCGGGCCTTTTTCTGCGAGGCGGACAGGGAGGGCCGGGGGGCCGGCTCCGGTTTCGCGGCCTTGGCCGGGGGGAGGCCGGTGCCGGCAGAGTTGCTCTTGTCTTCCTCGTCGGGTTTCTTGCGTTTCCCGAGAGGGGGTTGCGACGCGTTCGAACCGTTGCGGTCCGGTGCCGCGGCTCCCAGCGGAGATCCGGCGTCCTGTATTATCAGCGGGGTCGTCATTCTGCGGTTGGTGGGTGGCGAACTCTTGTTCTTTAGAATGTTCTCGTTCTCTGTGCGCCGTGATGGGAGGAATGCAATGCAATGGAACGGGATGCAACGTGCTCTATCGAGCGCTTGGTTTTTCTGGCCGAGCTCTGCCTCGATCACGGTGGCGCCGGCTGAGAAGGAAATCAGAAACTTCGATTCCGCACTCGGTGTGCAGCGAGAAAGACTATGGCCGTTGTGCAAGGACGATGCGAATGCAAAGGTTTCGCACTGTGGATACAAATGGAAGCGTCGTGTCGTGTCGTACKAATACGAGTACTGTGCCTGTTGTTGCTCCCTGTTGAAGAGCAATGGATGGGATTTTGGGTTCTATCGGAATGATTTCTTCGGTTCCCACACTACGTACATAGAATCCGTCACGATCGGAGTCTTCGGGGCAATCCTCCTAGTATGGGATGCCACTGATTCACAAAAGCAGTAGGTTCGGTAGGCAAAGCTCGGTCGAGCGCAAAGAAGAAGGGAGAGGGAAGTGTTGCGGAACGAACCGTCAGGCCTCTCAGTCACGAAAAGTGCGTGTCGTGACGTAACGAGAGGGGGTTGTTTTGTTCTTCTGTGCCGGTTCCGGCCATTCGATTGGGTTGTTTCGAAGGGGTTGCGTGGCACATGTCCCAATCACCACCCACGGAGCGAACATCCCCTCAGAAGGACGGAATTAAAATTGCGGTATGCTAGGTTACAGTAGASTCTTTACGCACTGTAAGTACCCTACGTACTGTATTGGGAATCTCGAACGGATACTCGAATCCCCGCATTCAATACCAGAGAGGGAGTTTCGTATACCAAAGTACGAGTACGAGTAGTACTCGTATAAGTGTACTGCTTAGCTTAGGAGAAGGGACCGGGAAGTACCAAACGGCACAAAACGGTTGGTGACGGAACCGTGGAACCGAGCTCGACCGAACAAGAAAGAGCAAGAGAGAACACTGGATGACGTGAAAAAAGCAACCCTGTGATGGAAATTGTTTCTACGGTACCAGGGACGTTGGGAAACGACTCATAACCAGATACTTTGAGCTACTGGTGGATGTACGGCGCAGCTACTGAGTCACGTGCCTACTCATAACTGGATACTTTAAGCTACTGGACCTATGGCCCAGCTACTGAGTCAAGTGCCTGATGATATATAGGCCGACCTGCGGGGGAGTTGTATCGTACAATTAGCTTTTAAGCGACCTTTAAGTAGCTCAAAAGTAGCTTTAAAGCTACTTAGTAGTCGCTTTAAAGCTACTTAAAAGAAGCTACTTTTAAGTAGCTTTAAAGCTACTTTTAAGCTACTTTAAAGTAGCTTAAAAGCTACTTTAAAGTAGCTTTTCGGTAGCCGTTGGATTACAAATTATAATATATATATATATATATTCATTACCAAATAAGAATATTGAAAATATACATATATAATCTATTCTTTAGTACAAGCGCCGTAGAAAACACCAAATCAAGGTCTGGTTTTATCTTCACACGCAAACACCGTGTTAAAATTAGCTTTCGGCCTAAAATCAGATAGGAAGAAAACTGGAGACCAAAATACTGATTTACGGAGCTTCCTGGTACAAAACGCTCGTAGAACTCCTGTAGAAAATTCAAAATCAAGGGGGTATAATTTGGGCAAAATCAGTTGGTTTTTATCTTTGCACACAAACGCCGTGTTAAAATTAGCTTTCGGCCTAAAATAAGATCGGAAGCACACCTACGTACTATTCTAACACTCCGAAAAGTACGCCACTACTGAGACCCCCAGAACAGCAACTGATCCACAAGTAGTGGGAACAGCAGTATTCCTTGAGTAGTGTAAATAGTGATGCAGTGACATCTTTCCTTGCCAGAGAGCATCTGCACTGTGTC